AAAGACAGGAGAGTTCAGCTCCCCTTCTGAGCTAAGGATAAAGACAACGGAGCTGAGGAAGGACCTTGTCTTGGAGACACCTCTGCCTGCTCTCAGTTCACAACATTACAGATCTCCAAGAAGATTTTTTTAAAGCTGCCTAAGTCTATGAGCTGTGTTTCAGCTGATTCTCTTGAATGCAGTGGAAGAAGGTCACAGGGAATTTTAAGTCCTTCAATACAGGCCAGTCAGACCACTGCCATAAAAGCATTTAATGTGACATTTCATAATTAGCTCTGACAAATACTTGGGTTTCTTTTCTGTTTAGAATTTCCTGAAGAACTTAACTTCTCTCCATACTAGTCAGACACTGAAGCCCAGGGTTATAGTGAGCCTTCAGCTCAAAAAAGCACTGACTCATATTAAAATTAAGCATGTGAGTGTCTTTTCCTGACTTTTCTGAGATTATTTAACCACTCTCAGATGCCTAAGGTAGAACATCACAAACACATTTATCACATTAACAAAGTCAAATCAGGATTTGTGTCAATTTTTCCTCTCCTAATCCTATGAACCTGAGTTCCTAAGTACTCTTAAGATGCAAATTTCAAAATGTAATGTAGGAGCAGCAGTGAAAAAAGTATAACCATAGGGAATCCTATGACCCAGTTCTAAAAGTAGTAGAGGAAGAATAAATCACCTTTTGCCCTCAGATAATTTCTCCTACACTACTCTTCAATGATATTCTCTCAGAATTCATCATAGAAGAAATTAAAACAATGTTGTCTACAGAATTACTAAACCTCAATTGTTGTCAACAAGATCACAAAAATAACAACCAAAACAGAAACTAATCCTAATTTTGCAAACATGGTTCCTGGCCTTGTGAGAGTATTGGCTTGTCAGAAGGAATTCTGAAAACATTGAAAAAACTCGAGAGTCATCAAGATTCACAGTTGCAATGCCATTTTAAGATACAAGCTGTTCCAAAATACTTCTGGTGAGCATGGAAATCTTGCTTAGAACTAGTCAATCTAATTAGGAAAAAACAATTCCAATTATAACTTTGTGACCAAAAGAAAGAAACAGTTTTAATTAGAATCAAGCTATACTATTGCAATCAAACTTCACAAGAATTAGCTCTGCTTTAGAACATATTATATTCATTTTCCTAAAGCTCTTATTCTGTATTAAGCATAAAAATTCAAAAGCATACAGGCCTTTAGAGGCTGAATATTAATACTCCTCTGATTTTAACACAAATATATGTTATCCAAAGGAAGTAAAAGCAGAAAAAGCTATTGCAAAATTATCAAGACAAGTTCTTGCATACTGTGCAGCTTCCAAGAGGAACAGAGCAGATGCAAAAGGTAACCAGTTCTGATATATTGGGATGGTAAAGGAACTTGAGAAATGTGACATGACAACTTCTTGTGTTCATTGTTGTTTTATTCAGAGCTGTTATACCATTATTTCAAACGGAGTTGATCAGCTATAACCTTGCTATTCAGCATGACGGTACTAGCTTTCAGAGAAAAAATCTGCAGCAGGAGTTTGAGCCTTTTGCTGTCTCCAGGCTCTCTGGAAGATCCCAAAATTGTCAGGTGTAGCTTCTGTAGTATAACAGATCTACTTATTGCCCTCCCACTTTTCTGCCAGTAAAAAAAAGCCAAATCTCTCAGCCTCCAAAACCTTACTTGTTGCCAGCTTGGTGAGTATCAGGCATGAGTCTCACAGCTCTTATCAAGAGAAGGTTTAAGCGCCTTGACTCAGAAGCTGGTAACCTCCAATGACCCACATGATGGCCACAGAGAGAAATACTCCCAACCTGGAGATTCCCCAAATGGGAGAATCTGGAATATCTGGAATATGAAACAATTATTGGATATTTACAGTATAGGTTTCAGATCATCAAAATCTTGAGCATTTTTCTGTAATTATTGCCCTACAACAATTAGCAGATGGATGTAACCACCCCAGTTTCCAGCTCCTGCTGCACTGTTCTGCAGATGGTGTGATGAGCTGAACTTACTAATTAATTACATATCAGAAAATACTTTCCATGGAACTGTGAACGTCATTTCAGATTGCTGCGACACCCAGGCCATCTTCTTGTTTCTTCTTTTCAGGTCATGGGGGCAACAAAGGCATTGATTCTTTCTAAGTTCAACACAGGGGATGACCACAAGATGAACAGGTGTGGTAAGCACAGGTGAGTTTTTTAGAGGAGTTTTCCACAATGTGTAAGGATGAAGCTATCCAGCTGAGCTCCACTGCCCCAGGTCCCAGTCCTGCACAGCCAGAGGCACCAGATGAACAAACCACGGACTGAATAAGCAAATTTCTCAGGTATGTGGGGTCACTCCCTTACTGGGCTAGAATGAGGATGTGACACTGTTCTGCACAAAAACAAGCAAAGGCTGAATTGCAGAAGGGCATGAAGTTGGAGTCTGTTTACAGTGAAAGACTTCCTGGCTGGTTTTGTGATTTTAAATTTGAGAAGACAACAAATTTGTTCACATTAATATGTAGAGGATTCATAAATCTAAGGGGCTTTTCATGTTGAGGCTTACCACTAAAATTCGTAGCAAGAATAACACAAGAGAAGTCTAAAAATCTAGAAAGTGAATAATGAAAAAATGCTACATCATAATGTTGACTAAACCAAGCTCTCTGTCTTCTTGGCAGGGCCCCTGCTTCATTAAAGTAGGAAATAGATTATTTGCATAGCTAGTTACTGAACAGTGACTCATTTCAGAAAATCTTTGTTATTTTTTATGTCCTCTGAAGAGACTGAAAGGACACAACCAAATGTATCCATAGTCATCAGGTGTTGTAAGAAAGAAACCTGAATTGGGCAAATGTAAAGAACAGGAGAATCAAAATCAAGAGAACAAGAAATTGCAGAGGAAAAAACTTTGGATGGTACAAATGAAATAAAAAAAATCCCAACTTTAATAAAATATAAAAGAACAATGATTTCCTGTTCTTTCACTTTTTTGAAGAATGAAAAACAAAAAAAAGCTTTAATGGAAAGTACCTTAAAGGAAAACTGAAGTCTCTGGAGAAGTTGGGTTGGATCACCAGTAAATGTGAGTCTGAAGCCATTACCATTTAGCTTAGAAAATGTGAAATGGTGGAATGAACTAGAAAAAAAATTATTTGCATTAGGAAAAAGCCAAAATATTAGACTTCAATAAAAGTGTTCAAAAATTGACTAGCACTACATTCACAAACGATTTACAGAGAATCTCATGGATTAAGAAAAATCTCTACTAACTGCAAATTATTTTCTAAAAAAGGTTTGGACTTTTTCTGCAGTAAAGAGCAGAATATTCTAACAACAGGATATGTGGGTGGGTTATGAAAGAACACTGGGTACACTGTCAGAAAAAAAACCAGCCTTAATTCTCTTGGAAGAAATATTATATGCTAATTCTATACAGAAACATATATCTTGCATATTTTAGTTATGAAATTTGTATTAGTCAATCTGGAGATGATATTGTACCTGACCACCCTCACAGACTGTTCTTTGAACACCTGTATTTTAAGCCAGTGGGTATTGTATCTTTCTGGGCAAAATATAAAACATGCTATTTTAAAAAGGCTGTATTCCTGCAAAAATTAAGTCTATTCAAAGGGAGCAGAAGGTAGTCCAGAATCTGTAATCCTTACATGCAAATGGCATGGAAATATGAGGTTAGAGAGAGCAGGTAGGAATCATCCTGAACTCAGAGAGAATTTTCCACTGGTGGTGGTACACTTTTTACCTTTCAGCATTGAAGAAATAAGAACATGCCCTGCCTATAATACATTAACAGACCCCATCTCACAAACAGGTATGTCACAAACATGTTTGTACCCTCACCTGAGGTGTAGAAGGCTTTTATGGTGGAAAAATGTCAAAATTACTACCACTATCTCAAGAAAACAGAACCTTTGTTTCTCAGCAGCAAGCCAATGTATTTCAGCTGATCATTTCAGAAGAGTTGTCAAAGATGTCTGCTTGTCATTTATTTTCTTGCAGCATAAAACACCAGGCAAATATTTTGGCAACACAGTCACAAGTCAGGACTTTTAAATAACCAATAGTCTTTTGTATTCACAAGGTGATATGGGTTAGACAGCACAGGTTCTCTAAAACCACAACAATAACTTCAAACAGCAGAATCATACCGCTTTGTGCAAAAGCAAAGACAGCATTTCTACATTACATAGACTCCAAATCAAAATTTATAGGTATGTTGTGTAGAGTAGGGCGTTCACAAATGTGATGAACACATTTGCCCTGAAACCTCATTACAGAATGGCTGCTTTAGAAAGAAATTATCAGCTATCACTCAGAATGTCTATGTCCTCTCCAAAACAAGAAATGAAAGGAGTGGGGAGAAGAAAATATGGATTGAAAAAATCCTCCACAGCTGTCATTCCACTTTCAGAAGAAACAGGCAGCGTAAAACATGCTTTAACTATTTTCATCTTCTTCCAATACTTTTTAGAACTGAAGCATCTAAGGAAGTAGAGTTGTAAATATTTTACAAATAACCAGTCAATCCAAAACCCAGCAGAAAGGGAAATAGTGCAGATCTGTTCTGATAAAAGCACCAATGACAGAACTACTCCTTAGCACTAATTCCTAGCAGCATCATTCTACAAACATGCTGTGCATGTCTTGGCAAAATGAGAGTTGCATGGAGCATTGGAGTTGTTCATTAGCCACTTTGCATAGCTAAGAAAAACCTCTGTGCTTGACATGAGTGATAATATTTTCTGGTTTTCACAGTATTTTTTTCCACAATACACACAAAAGCTACAAAACAAATAGTTTTAAGTTCAGGAACACATGCATTACATTCTTCCTTTTAAACAAACATAATTTTTTTATCTAAGTTAGAATATGCAAGTTAAATAAACATTTCAGTGTTCAATTATCTAAAATTTCACTTCTGCCTTTAACATAATGAATGCTAAATGAACCACTTCCATTGTTAAAGGATCAGCAGAAAAACCTTTCTTACCTTTTTTAAGGTGGGGTGTGGTATTTTCTACTTTCACACAGTCTTGCACTCCCTCTGAAATGGCTTTTCTTTAATATAAGGGATCAGAAGTCAGGATATGTTGCTAGGGACCAGTGGTTAACATTCTCCTCCCAGACTGCCTAGGTATAAGTGAAAAAGAAAACTTCAGTTCAGTTCAACTTTTCTAGGCAAACCTAAGAGTGAGGGTTTTGTGTTTTCACTCTTTTGAAGGGTGCTTATAAGCTGAACAATTCCTGCCTACCACATCTCTTGTAAATGGTTTGAAACACCTGCAGTCTAAAGAAGAAACAAAAGAGAAAGAAAGAAAGAAAAAAAAGATATTGCAGCCTGAGAAATTTTTCATTAACTTTGGAGTTCCCTCTGAGATTTTCATACAAAATGATCTTACTTTCCTCTTTCTTACTGATGAAATGGCAGCACATTTTTATTTTTCCTTCCAGTCATATCCTGCAGTTCTAAATCAATTATATATCAAGAAAAATATGCCACTGATTTTACTGTAGTTTGGGTGAAATAAAAATACTGTATATGACTCTACTTTTATGAAAGGAAAATCGGTACCTTCTAAAAATTAAAATGTGAGCTTATAAAATCTTTGGTTTTTCCTCTACTAGAGTAGAGAAGAAATAAGTTTTAACTATTTTTCTGGCACAAATAACTAAATGCCTTTTTTAATTAAAAACATATCTACTGCAAAAAACTTAATCTATTTGAATACACTGCAAAACAAACAAACAAACAAAAATAAACAGGTGAAAACAACCTGCAAAATTGAACAAAGCAGCTACTTTTTTTAACAGATTTTTTTTTCTTCTGGTTTCACTAGTTTCAAGTTTTACTTTGAAAAATTTAACTGTAATTCTGTGATTTTGACCTTGCATTATTCAAAAATTTCCTCAAAAGTTTTTGACTCTTTTTGGGGATTTTTATGCTTCCTTTTACATATAACTGGAAGGATCAGATAAGAATTTTGTAGCAACCATCCTATTCCTAGACTCTATCAGTTATTAAATAGTATTTGCTATATTCATTCACCCTTATATCCTTAGGCAGCCACAAATAAGAGTATTTTGCTGTAACAATGTAATTAGGCTAAATCATGCCCCACTTGACAAGACAACTATAAAGTGTATATTTGGTTCTTGGTAATCAAATAGAACTGCTCGCAAGCATTAAATTATTACTGCTGAAGTTTAAGGACTAAATGTTGGTGGGTGCTCTCAGACTCTCAGGAAAGATGATCTAGAGCTGTACTTTTGCTAGCAAAGGCACCTGAACAAAGCAGTCTGTTTAAGATGAGAAATTAACACTCAGTTGACTCTGCACTGCTCATAATATTCAGAACACCTTGAAGATGTGAACGAGAGATGAACAAGGAATATGAAAACATCCTGAGTTTGTCAGTCCAATTCTAAAAAAAAAAAAAGAAAATAAAAGTATTCCTAATGTATATGACAAAATGTGAAGGTCTTGAACTTGTGCTTGAGTGTGTGAACTTCAGATGTTAAAATCTCATATATGCACATCAACTTCTAATCTAATTTTCACACGCAGACGCAGCACTGCCCTCTTGTTTCTGGGCACAAGATGCAGCATTGTCAATAGCTTGTGCGATGGTCTGAGCATGGAAATATTGTGGCCTGCATCAGATCAATGTGGTTCTGGCAAAACAGGGAGAAATGTATTTCTTTTCTCACCAGAAATCCCCCAGTAATCAAGTGCTGGTGCAAAGATCTCTGTTAGTTCATAGCTTTAAATCCTGCATGCATCCAAAATGCCTGACACAGCCTCTCTGGTGTCCCTGCCCTGCAGACAGTGTGCTGCTAACCAGCAGAGCAGAGGACATCTCTCAGTGTGCTCCTTTCACATGTTTCCCTGCCCTTTCTGCACCTCAGTCACTTATGGCACCACAGAAACCAGGAGTTCAGTGCACCTGCAAAAAGGAGCCTGCTGTAACTGAGAGACTTCAGGTCTGTCGCCTTGCCTGCAGCCCAAGGGAACCAGCAAATCTACCAGCCCCTTATAGAGAGTCGGTTCTCATTCTTCTGGGTAAAGTTTGGAAGCATGGGAGCAATGGGACAACTTCTGAATCAGTTTATTGTTCTCAAAAATCAGAATTCAAAGTGCTTTGAACTCCTGGATGTAAAACAGACCTTCATTGTTCAAGGTGAAAGAAAAAGAAATTTAAAGCACAGTCAGTGTAACCCACTAAGCTCAAGATGCATACGAGTAGATGACCTGGCAGCAACAGACAAACAGAAAGGTCTTCCTTCTATTTACTAACACTCTTTTAATTTTGAGGGGAAGACATGAAGACAGATGGATTGGGAAATATTTCAATGAAAAGGAAATTCCTGAAGACAGGCCAGCCTGTCAGGAATATATATTCAGGAATATTTGGATTCTGAAAGATTATTTCAGGAAGCTATTCTATACTGTCCTTTTCCAATGCAGCCATAAAATTGAATGCAGAATTAGAAATACATATTTCCAGCATAGAAAGCTAGGCAAATACACATTCTGCATACCCTTAGGGAAAATTACTATATCCCACAATAATAAGTAGTTGATAGAAGCAATGATGCCAGACCCATGCAATTCTGAGCAGAATAGAAATGAGGAAATAAAAAGTAACCTCAGATTTTTTTTCAGAACACAGACCTCTCCATTGTGCATTTTATCTTTTCACAATCTATCCTTTACCTCAAAACATAATAATAGTACAAAACTTTAGAACAGAGAAAGGCCATTATAAAGCAAGTCCCTGAAAATACCTACTGCAAGGCTAGAGTTACAAGTGGTAAATTGATAAACTGGTCTATTTTCAGCATCTCAGACAATAGCTGTTCTTGTACCTACCTAGTCCACATGGTCATTATTTCACCACACAACATAGACAATTAAGCATGGCAAGCCACCAAATATTTGCCCACTAAAAGAACTCCACCATATCTTTTCTATCTGCTAATTAAGTCCCCATTCTTCTAAAAATATGTTTCAACTTCCCAGGATAACTGAGTAACAGTCCAAAAGGAAATATGTTCAGTATATCACAGGTAAATATGATCAGCATTACTCACAGAATATTTTTTACTTAATGCAAAGAAGACTTCTGATTTAAAGAATAAAAATTATCGCCAGACAGAGAAAATCAAGACCAGCTCCTGAAAAAAGCAGAAGAGTGTAGAGGCACCTGCCCATTAAAATACTGAAAACTGACTCAGTGTTTCATATCATGAATAAGAAGAACCCTCTATGACTTAAATGTTTTCTTTAGAACATGGTAGAGCATTCTGCACTAGAAACACTGTTAGCACATTTTAAATTTTGTTCCTCAAATTAATTTTAATAACATCTAAAATTAATGCATTTAGTATACAGTTAAAAATATGTGGAATCAGTTAAAATATACATATTTATATTATATATATATAAGTTGAAAAATATAATAAAATATGTATGTAAATAACTGATATCATATATCAGTTAAAATATACATCTTTTCCAGACTACTTACTGATAAAAGCTACACTGAGTAGTAAGCTATGAATCTTAAAACCATGTGGTTTATGGTTTGGATCAGAAGAGACATAAAGATCATCGATTTCCAACCCCCTGCCATGGGCAGGGACACCTTCCACTAGGCCAGGTTGCTCAGAGCCCCATCCAACCTGGACATGAACACCCTGGGGATGGGGCATCCACAACTTCTCTGGGAAACTTCTTTCTGTGCCTCTCCACCTTCACAGTGAAGGCTTTCTTTCTAATATCCAATCTAAACCTCTCCTCTTTCATCTTAAAGCCGTTCTCCCTTGTCCTGTCACTCCATGCCCTTGTGAAAAGTCCTTCTCCAGCTCTCTTGTAGGCCCCCTTTAGGTACTGGAAGGTGCTCTAAAGTATCCCTGGAGCCTTCTCTTTTCCAGGCTTAACAGCCCAGACTCCCTCAGCCTGTCCTCACAGGAGAGGAGCTCCTATGAAGTAGGAAAAGCAGTACAAATCAGTGAAACACTTCCAGCATGGTCAGCCTTAGGAAAGAAGTTAGTACTACAAGCTGTTTTACCAGCAAGTTATAGTATATTTTGGTATCAAGGTTCAGCTTTAAATCAAACCCAAAACCGAAAGAACGCTCATGCCCTTCTTCGGTGGCCACTAAAACCTTAATTTCTCTGTACCAGATACTGAGCTTGTTCTGTGCTACACATGGTACAAATCCATTACTTTGGACTGCTGTCTTTGATAATGCATCATGAGTATCCACAACTGCTCAAAGCTGAGAAAATAAACTCCAGAGATCACATTAGGTCAGATGAACATTTTATCGTGGTGCCAAACTTGGGTTTGACTCTCCAGCTCCTGCAGTAGCACAATTCCCAAACACACACACACACAGAACTTTAGAATGGCAGAGTAAGTTTATTTCTTACATTATTACTTCCTTCCCAAAATCAGAGGTTTGGACTGTTCAAGGGGAATGAATCTCGTCACTGCAAATACCAAAACTCATTGAAGGAAAAAAAAATATTTCAGCAGTTATGATCTGGCCTGCCCTTTCCTACATTTCTTCAAATTACACATTTCTTAATGAAAACATATATAGGAGTCAAAAGGAACTACCAGGACACCATCAAGTGTACCTTTCCTACCCATCCCTCCAAATATAGTAGCAAAATATGTATTTACTTTATATGCAGAAAAAAGCTCCCAAACATGGTGGGCATAATGTGTGCTCATTTCTCAGCCAAAATTAAACTCACACGTTTTCATGAGAGATAAATAACAAGCTAAACATTCAGAACTAGTAATTAAAAGAACTTCAAAAACCAGAAAACATAAAAATCATGATTAATAATTAATATGTCAAAAAGCAGCACATGAATTCTGAGATAAAAACATCTTTGGTAACTTAGCATACCTATTATGATTGACATATATTGTGTCCTGGAACTCGGGGGTATCACAAAATGCCATTTAATTCATACAGCTGCTTGATGGAAAAACAAGCAGTAAAAATGTTCTGCTCCCAGTTTTCAATAGAGGTAGGAGTGGCAGAGGTGGGAGTGGAGAATTCTCCCAGATCTTCTTACAGCGTTATTTTCAGCCACACATTGCAAGGAATCCTGTTCTGAGCTGCAAACCAAAGAAAAATAAAGAAGAAGAAAATAAAAGACCAAAAACCTCTGAAAAGATCTGAGCTGAGTATCAGCAGTGTTCTGCAAGCCTGTATGTCTGAACAATACAAGGGTAGCAAGGTAGAAAGATGTAAAGGATGCATGGAAGACCCTGCTCTTGCCAGTGATATCCCGCGACAGCGCAAGAGGCAATGGGCAGAAACTGAAACACAGAAGGTCCCTCTGAACATCAGGAAACACTTTTTAACTGTCAGAGTGGCCAAGCAATGTCACAGGTTGCCCAGAGAGGTTGTGCAATCTCCATCCTTTGGAGATATTCAAAACCCAAAGGGACAGAGTCCTGGATGACAAGCTCTAACTGACCCTGCTTGATCAGGTGGGTTGGACCAGAGGCTGCCAGAGGTGCCTCACAAACTCAGAGAGTCTGTGATTCTGTGAAAATGGAAGGAAAGAAACCAGGAAAATAATCCCTGCAATTAGGGAACAAATAATTGAAAACTTTCCTATTTTTTTATAAAGTACAACCCTATTTATTACAAGCCAAACAACAACATTAATAAATAGGATGAAACTGAATTAACGGACCTGCAGAACAATTGCTGTTGACATTGTAATTTCCCTGGGTCATGCTAACATCATTAAAAGTCATCTATTTAGTCAAGGTTACAGAGATAAAATCCAAATGCAAGCAGAAGACTGAGTAAAAAGGAAGCTTTGATCTCCCAAACTACAGGGTAGGAATAGTCTTGTCAGAAAGATCTGTCAGATCTTAATATGAAAATGCAGATTTTGAGGGGATGACCACCCCCTGTGTGCCCTGTTCACTTCTGTGCTCCCTCTCTTCTCTCCAGCACAGCCAGGAGCAGGGAAGGTTAATTGTATTTGCACAGGTCAGCCTCAAAGCTGCATCAAAGACACTGGGAGACATCCAGATGGGTAAATGAGACTGTTTGACCTGCGTGATATTACTGCTGGTAAGGCATGGAAAAGGGAAAACTCTCCTTGACTTAGGGTCTTTGCAACGACCAATGTACCACAGTCCTGCAGCACAGCCAGGGCACACTGCAGTTTTACCTTCACTGATGCTGATAAACAACTAAACCAAATTAAAATTGTAGCTTTGCCTGTGTTGTAGGGTGCTAGAACTTCTCTATCAGACCATCCCATCCTGCTCTCTGATCATGCTTGGCTCACCTCACACAAATGTGAGTCGAAGTACACTTTATTGCACTGCTAGTTAAACATGCACTGGCAGAATATAAGTGTAAATTGCCAAGGAATAAATGGAAACTCAGCCTCTCCCCATGCCTTGGTTTCTTTTCCTTACACTTTATATGCAACACTGCCTTAAGAAGACATAGCTTTTTATTTTTGAAAACAATAAGCACAATAGATCATGCTCTTTTAAAACAACATATCATGTTCTTTCTCAGATACCACAAACATCTTCAATTAGAAATGCTCCTAATACACTCTGAAAGACAAAAGCATCAAATATTAACATGCCTTTATTTCACTAACAAGAGCTATGATTTTTCTTCTCTGTTTATTGTGCTCCTTCTCTGTGTTTATTGTGTATTATTAAGTATAACCTCTAATGCTTAGGGGAAAAAAATGTTGCCTCTTTCTTTTCAGTACCTTAAATGATAAAACTAAACCAAAAACCAAACACTGCAAAATTAATTTATGATGGCAAAATCCTCCAGTTACTTTTTGTCCACCAAATGTGTAATTCAAAACACTTTTTTATGGTTATGTGTCATTCTTGACTATATAAGTACACTATTTCCAGACATGGCTAGAAAAATTATTTGCAATATTATGTGACCAGTTTCCACTCCCTTTATTTGATATAAATTGAATTCTGTGCTGCAGGCTGACTTAAATGGGGCTCTAAACTTGTTTGTGGAATAGGATCCTGCTCTGCCATAGTAAAAGTTTTTAAAAAATAAAAAAAACAAGCAAACAAGCAAAAAAACCTCAGTCAAATTAACTTGAAAGAAAAAGGAAACTAAAAAGCTTAAGAAACTCCTGTTTGAGGAATGCCATATCAAAAAGTGCACAGGCAGCAAATGTCTTGTGGAGAAAGGATGCCTAACCCTAGTGTGTATCCAAGAATACGGAGAAAAGGGAATTTTCTTGTACCAGGTCCTCAGTCTGTGGAGAAATCATTAAAAGTTTGTTTCAGGCAGTCACTCATGCAGATATAAACTTGCCAGCTGCCTGGGAAGTTCTCTGAAGAAAGGCACTCTGCAATCATAAATCATTAATGAACCGAGTGACCTCATCTTTGGGTAACTAGAGATGCTTAAACCCAACATGCTTTATAGGTAGAAAGTCTTCTAGTCTGCAGTGCCACGCTTCAGTGGGCAATCAACACAAGAGTATCCATCCTGATGTCATTGCAGATTCCTCTTGACAGGCTTTGTGTTTTTATCTCAACCACAACAGGTCATTGGTGGCAAAAGGCAGAAGCTTCTGAGGACAAATGAGGTCACAGTTCAATAATTAAGAGTAGGAACCCTGCCTGATCTCTTTGTTTGATCCAGGGCTTGCCTGAAGCGGAGCATTTAGCAGATGTAAAAAAATCTTGCTAACTCTAGGAACACAAAAACAGGAATTGTGTCTGAGCTGACAAATCTTGCGAAGCTGTTAATACAGACCACCAGGGTCCAACCTGTGGCATGCAGCACCATCCTGGGGAAGATGGGGGCCAAACACAGACAGAAACTCTGCTTCAGTAACACCCAGCTCTCCCAGCCCCACCGAGGCACGGACACTGCCCCACACACAGTGCCTTGGGAGGAGTCCAGCTTTTTGGGGCTCTGTCTTTTCAGCCCAGATCCCCCACCTTTCACCCATGACTGCAGCTGCTCCAGCCAAACACGCTCCCTGGCCCATTCACATGGAAGACACGGGAGGCAAAGGCTGCCAGCAAAAGCCAGGAAAAAAGGGCAGCTGCTGGCATGAAGTCAGACAAGGAAAATGCCTCTTGCATGGGGGTAAAGCTGCTGCTACTTGAAAAAAGGAGCACAGATCCCAAGTACCAGATCCAAGTCCTGTGAGATCAAGGTTATGGCATTTGACAGAGGCTTTTGCAGTGCCTAGAATAAAAAATTCGGTTCATCCAAATATTTCCAGTAACTACAGGTATCTTAATGTCTTCATGAGGCCAGCAGTCCTTTAAAGAGAATTTTAATGGGACAAGACAGTGGCTGCAAGATCTCCCAATGAGGTTGTTCAACATATGAGGGAAAAAAACACCCAAAGATTTCCATGGGGGAAAAAAAATTAGGCTTTTCCCCTGCCAGAGCAGAAGAGATGCTGTGTCTGGTAAAGCTAGCCAAATGAATCTATGCTGGACAATTCTTTGGGGCCAGCAGCTCTGTGACTGATATGCTACACTTTTTCCTCTCTGTAGAGAGAAATTACAGGAGGAGCATTTCACTGGCATCTTCATCTGTTAACAAAGCAAAAGAACTCTGCTGAGGGTCATTCCAGCTATTTGCAATGATTCACCTGACAAATGCCCTAAGCTACCTTTACTGTATACATAACTTGTTTTCCAGCTAGCTATACAAGCAACTGAAGTATTGTATTTTTCCAGCTTATTCCAGCTAGTTTTTCAGTCTGTCCTAATACGACAATTTGCTTCTGAAGCTGTGGTTGATGGTTACTGGCAGCCCAGTATCTCATCCTGACAGGTGTTTCAGTTGTTGTCACATAAAGTTCACATCTAATTCTCTCATACTGATGTATCATTGCTTAAGCACAGAAGGGTCTGTGCTTCTCTCCTCTCTTGTTATCTGGAAATCAAGAGATTTCCATATGTGAGATTGCACAGACACTTGGCACTCTTTCCCTGCAAGTAATCTGTATGCAAAAAGCAACGTTGTCTAGATGAGATTAATATCGCTTAGTGATATATCAATAGTTCCATTCCTGTAGAGCTTGTAACCTTCTGTATTTTCTCCCTCACATATAAAAAGAGAGAAGGTACAAAATGAAGTGTTGAGGACCAATATTTTCCCTAATTGTTTCTGGTTGTCCTAAGGATATAAAATATGAGATGTACGAATTTCAAGAGATGGGAAGGGATAAGGAAAGGAAATAATTTGCTGTACTTAAGTTTGACAGGCTTTTATGAAATACAAGGATATATAATTTTGTGCTTAGGACTTTCAATGTTTGTTGTGCTCATTTAATAAAGCACTGCATGTAGTGAAAGAGAAATTGCATGGGTGTTCATGAAAGAAACAGTTCTGTAAAACTATTACAAGATCAAAAGGCTCAAAGGAAGTAAAAAATCACTTAAATCATTACTCTCTGATTTATCCTCCTCTTAAAATGATCCACTCCAAATACCATGGAACAATATTTCTTTCAATTCCATGACATTTCCATGAATAAAATATATAACTTTTCAGAAAGCACATTAATATCTATCCAGCTGACAATGAGAACTGCCCCTTATCAGCAGCAAAGTTCCTAAACCTTTTACGACTGATGATAAGTAATACCCACCATAAAACATATATGCATGCAAGAATAAATCTACTCACTCCCTCAGGCATATACACACAATCAGTCTTTGGGTTTTTGCAACACATTAAAGAAAGCTTCAGACATCAAAGAATTTTTTACTTGCATTTCACAATGTGATTTTACCAGAATATAAATAAAATCTCCCCAGCTTTAGTCAGTAGAATTAAATAAAATAGTTAATAGGGCAAGAGACCTTTTACACATCTTAAAACTAATTAATATTTATTTAAATATCAAATATTGACTTGAAAGAAATGACAGGTCTCCTAGAAATTCTGTCTTTTTTTCCTTTGTCATATATTCAGGGGCATGTCTTGGAACACATTTGAAAAATGCCAGTTTGACATTTGTGGTTTCGTTGAATTAAAAACCAGAAATAATAAGAAATAAGAAATAATTTTAACAGCTTCTTCCTCCTCCCCAAACTG